CAGGTGTGCTTAGCTTTCTTCTATTGAAAATTGTGTTTTTCACTTGCATTTGTAACACCTGATCTTCACTCTTAAGCTATCAAAGCAGTACTGCCAATTCAGGGTACCAGGTGTAATACAAGAGGCCCAGTGAAACTTAGATTTCAGAGAAAATGAACAAATGGGCTTCTTTTTAAGCATAAGTGTGTTATATGCAATATATATTTGAAATACACACCTGATTGATCCCTGTATGTACTAAGTCTTGCAGGGAAGAAGAGGCAATGACCCTTATGAAGTCACTAATTTTCATTTCAAAATTTCAGGGGCTTTCTAATGTCTGAAATTGATGGCTGTAGTCTGGAAGCATGAGGCTTGCTAACAGGAGCACTATTTGTTTCATTGGCCTATTTCTTCTCTTTCCTTGGATGGCGCATGTGTGCTTACTTGCAGGCATGCATGCATGCATACATACAGGCATGTGTGAATGCCCTGGATTGTGAAAGCCAGAATTGGTGGATAAGGTTCCTATTACAGCTGCCACCAGAAAGAATATTAAGACAAAAGGAAGTCCCCAAAACAAAATCTTAAGGCAAAGAGGTAGAAGGGAGAGGAGAAAATTCCAGAAATATTTTAAAGAGTTACACAAATGGTCTTCTTGCCAAGAATATAAGCCATAGAGCTAGTTGGGGAATAAAGATTTATCAATCTTTAGGACAAGCTATCTGAAAACAAATAGCTATCAATTTTATTGAGAACAACTGTTCTTATTATTGAATAGTCGGCATATAAGAGCTGGGTGTTGTGCTGGAACTGAAGAAATGGAGATGAAAAAGACAGACCTCTCTCCTTGTAGTTTAGTGGAGAAGACCAACGAATGCACATATTTGAAATATGGCATAAAAATGTGGACATATAAAAATAGGAATGAAAGCCCTGCACCTGTGTGTTCATGTGAAAACAAGTTGTAACACAGTTACATCCAGGGGAACAACCAAGTTTTTAGCTAGAAGAACTGGAAATAAAGTTTTTTTTTATTGGATTAAACATTCTCAAATTGGTTGTGTTCTAAACAAACTGGGAAGGAACAGCACTCTTGAGGTAACATGTTTGGAGTTCATTAAGCTTCGTACAGGTAAAATATTATCTCACCTATGAAACCCAGCCCACTGGTCCACTTTCTGCAAGTAAATATGAGGACACAGCCATAGCCATGGACACCTTGTGTTATGTCAGAGAAATGAACCTGCTACCCAGACCACTGTGTCCTCAGAGTGGTAATGCTTCCAAGTTAGTTGCCTTTAAGCTGTAGCACTGCTTTGTTGCTCCTCCCGCTCCTCCAAGGTTTATGTATTATTGCATTTTTATCACCTGGTAGGGACCAACACCTGCTTTTAATTTGAAAAAAAGAGAAGTGAACTTAACAACACACTTTCAAGTTGAAAAATAAAAGCACCTTAGAATTTCAACTTAATGCACCTGGGCTACGTCATGCTCCTGAAACATATGCTAATTACCAAAGGACTAGCAAAGCTGGAGAAAGAGACCAGTGTACAGGTGCTTGCTTCTGTAGATCAAGTGAGTGATGTCAACTATGAGTTCTTACTACATTATTTGATAGTTTTTTTGTTTCTGGTATAAACACATAGCTTTTTTAATGTGTGAGTCTGAATTAGAGTTCTAAGTATCGGCCGAATGTTTCTGTCTCTTTAGTCTTGCTCAGCTCAGCAACCACTCCTTTCCTACTGAGGGCCTCGTGTAAATAACAGTACATAAGGAACTGCTCTTGACCTCAGGGTATTTACACAATAAATAAGAAACAAACAGTTGAGTGGTGTAAGAATTACCAGATGGCATCTGGCAAACATTCAGGGACATGTCAATCAGATGAGAAGTTGGAGACGTCAATGTGGCAAAGGGCTAAATCTTAGAAGGCGCAGGGTTGACAAGACAGAAAAAAGAATCAGAAGGCCTTTCAACTGGAGAAAAACTTAAGCAGGCGTTGAGTGGAAGGGAAAGACAGCTTGATGCTTACAGACCAGACTAGAGATTGGATTTTGCACAATTTTACTGAAGCACTACAGAGACGCCAGGAAACTGCTCTTGATATGATGAACTTTGATTTAGTGAAATATCCTTTAGTTTTTTGGACAGGGTGATACAGGAAGATTTGCCTTGAAGAGAAAGGAAACCCTGGAGGTCAGAAATTCAGTTCAGAGGCTCCAGCAAATCAGGTGAAGAATGGTGAAAACAGTAGTGTGAACAGAGTGGGAGGATTAAAGATAGACCTCTCTTGATTATGTAGATTTAAATAAATCAATGTCATTTATGTTAAAGGGTTCCCATCTTGAACTACTTTTATATTCACAGCTACTCCCCAACACAGAGTAATGCTGAGGGAAGAAACTGTCATTCGCTCACTACGAAATTCTAAAGAAAGCATTTCGAAAAAGTTTGTATCCTGGAACTCCATATAAGGCACATGAAAGCTCCATCGCTTTTGTCACAAAGATCCTTAGGGTGATACCATGTCCTGTTTCAATCAGGCTCATCATCTTTCCCCGGGGCCATCAAAGGTTGTTTATAGTTCTCTGTTCTCACCAGCAGTCTGCTTTTTCTTTAACAAATTAGCACCTACAGTTTATGAATTCCACCAACAGATGGTCCGGACACATATAAGTCTCACCTCGAAAATGGTTGGATTTTTAATCAGGTTGTTCTTTGCCCAAGTGGCTTCTTCCCCAGCCAGCATAAGTGGCTTGAGGCCTGAGGCATATCAATGAGACACAGGGGCTTTGGCTGTTGCAGACACAAGTTTCATCTCCCAGTCTCCTCAAACTCCCCTTAAATCACTTACCACGACAAGGAAAGGGGTTGGAATAAACTCTTCATTGTAAAGGATGTCTTGCAGAGCCACTCTTTATCCATATGCTGTGACTGTGAAAGATCTAAGGGGTGGGTCTCTGTCCTGTGCTGGTAGAGATTCAGTACTGTGGCCTCACCTTCCATCAACCACAGGGTGTCTCCCAGCTACTCCAAATTGCTGGATACCTGTGTTTCTTTCTATGGCATTGTAGGTCTTGATAACCTCTGCCAAATACAGTTCAATTTTAAATACATATGAAAGTGCTGTGCCAGGGCTAAGAGAACATTAGCTTTCTCACTAACCATATATATATATATATATATATATATATATATATATATATATAT